GGCCAATCCTGGATCTGCGCGTCTTGAGCCGCTCCCTTCACAGGCTGCCGTTCAGGATGCTCACGACCAAACACATTTTCGAATACGTGCGGCCACAGGATTGGTTTGCAGCGATAGACCTGAAGGACGCCTACTTTCATGTCTCCATTTTACCTCGACACAGACCGTTTCTTCGGTTTGCTTTCGAGGGGCAGGCATACCAGTACGCAGTTCTCCCATTCGGGTTGGCTCTGTCTCCTCGCGTCTTTACGAAGGTCGTCGAGGCAGCCCTTGTTCCCCTGCGCGAACACGGGGTTCGCATCCTGAATTACCTCGACGACTGGCTAATATTAGCTCACTCTCGAGTCCAGGTTTGCGAACACAGAGACCTAGTGCTCCGGCACCTAGCCCGTCTGGGCCTTCGGGTCAACTGGGAGAAGAGCAAACTTTGCCCCGTGCAGAGGATCTCTTTTCTCGGTATGGAGATAGACTCGGTCGCCATGTCCGCGCAGCTTACGAGCGAGCGCGCACACTCACTGCTGACTTGTCTTCGACAGTTCGAGGGGAAGAGTGCGGTCCCACTGAAACTTTTTCAGAGGCTCCTGGGGCATATGGCATCCGCAGCCGCGGCAACGCCACTCGGATTGCTTCATATGAGACCGCTTCAGCTGTGGCTTCGCGATCGGGTCCCGAGGTGGGCATGGCATCGCGGTACGCTCAGAGTTCCAATAACTCCGACCTGCCGTCAGTCCTTCACCCCGTGGCGGAACCTCAGCTTTCTACGGGCCGGAGTTCCCCTAGAACGAGTTTCCAGGCATGTTGTTGTCTCCACAGATGCCTCTGCCACGGGCTGGGGCGCCATGTGCAATGGACATGCAGCCGCGGGCTCCTGGACAGGACCCCAGCGCCTCATGCATGTCAATTGCCTCGAGTTGCTGGCAGTACGCCTTGCCCTGCACCGCTTCCACGCGCTGCTCCAGGGTCAACACGTACTTGTCCGTCCAGACAATACCGCGACAGTAGCGTACATCAACCATCAGGGTGGTCTACGCTCTCGCCGTATGTCGCAACTCGCACGCCACCTCCTCTTATGGAGTCAGAAGCACCTGAGGTCCCTTCGTGCTATTTACATTCCAGGAGAGCGGAACCTTGCAGCCGACGAGCTGTCACGGCTCCGGCCAACCTCTGGCGAATGGCGACTCCATCCCCAGTTGGTCCAGCTGATATGGGACCAGTTCGGGGACGCACAGATATTTCTGTTTGCCTCCCACGACTCATCCCATTGCGCCCTGTATTACTCCCTGTCCGAGGGCACGCTTGGCACGGATGCACTGGCGCACAGCTGGCCGCAGGGCCTACGCAAATATGCGTTTCCCCCAGTGAGCCTTCTCGCACGGACTCTGTGCAAGATCAAGGAGGACGAGGAGCAGGTCATATTGGTCGCCCCATACTGGCCCACCAAGACCTGGTTCTCCGAACTGATACTCCTCGCGACAGCACCTCCTTGGCCAATTCCTCTGAGGAAGGACCTCCTTTCTCAGAGACGGGGCACCCTATGGCACCCTCGTCCCGATCTTTGGAGACTCCACGTGTGGCTCCTGGACGGGACGAGGCAGGTTTGAGTACCCTGCCACCTGCGGTGGCGGCTACCATCGCTTCCGCTAGAGCGTTGTCCACGAGACACGTCTACGCGTTGAAGTGGAACCTCTTCGTCAACTGGTGCGGCGAGAAGACCCCAGGAGATGCTCGATTGGTGTCGTGCTTTCCTTTCTGCAAGACGGGCTGGAGTGAAGGCTGTCTCCCTCCACCCTGAAGGTGTATGTGGCCGCTATCGCCGCTTATCACGATGCAGTTGAAGGTAAGTCTCTGGGAAAGCACGACCTGATCATCAGGTTCCTGAGAGGAGCGAGGAGACTGAATCCTCCTCGCCCTCCTCTCGTACCCTCTTGGGACCTCTCAGTGGTCTTATATTCCCTGCAGAGGGCTCCCTTTGAGCCTCTGCAATCAGTGGAGATTAAGTTCCTGTCAATGAAGACAGCGCTCCTGGTTGCACTGGCCTCCATCAAGAGGTTGGGGGATCTGCACGCACTCTCCGTTGACGAAGCGTGCCTGGAATTCGGGCCGGCCTGCTCTCACGTGATCCTGAGACCCCGGCCTGGATATGTGCCCAAGGTTCCCACCACTCCCTTCCGGGACCAGGTGGTGAACCTGCAAGCGCTGCCCCTGGAGGAGGCAGACCCAGCCTTGGCACTGCTCTGTCCAGTACGCGCCCTCCGTGCTTACGTAGACAGGACGCAGTGTTTCAGGACCTCAGACCAGCTCTTTGTCTGTTATGGTGGGAAGCTGAAGGGAAAGGCTCTCTCCAAGCAAAGGTTATCCCACTGGATAGTGGACGCCATTGATTTGGCATACCAGCATAACAGACATCTGCAGAGCTGCAGGCTGGGCGACACCCAACACATTCGCCAGATTTTAAAATCTCCGAGTGGAGCCAGTCTCCGCCCATGTACTGTCTTTTTCAAGCTAACATGGAAGCCGTTAGGTGTCTCGCTTGCTCGCCATTCCAATCCACGGACTGGATACGTGCGATATTTCCTCAGGTAGCCTTCCTCTCTGAAGCCCTGAGTTCCTCCAGCACTGTTGACGCTGGCGCCAGTGTCTATTGCCTGTGCGTCGCCTAGGTGCCTCCGTGTGCATGGTTCCTCCTCTGAGTAACCCCCACATGTGTATTTCCACTGTAAGCCTCTTGAGCATGTGTCTTTCCCTCGGCAAGCCACCTTGCCACTCCTGGAGTTGAAAGTTGCCACCCCACGGGCTGGTCACTCCAGTGTTCCTCCATATGAAGCCCCCTCGGCCATATGTGTATTCTTAAGTCCTCCCTATGGGTAGGCATGCTGTGGCATTTCTCCCCTGAGATATGCTTCCCAGTGTACCTTGGTATTCCTGTGTTAAGTAGGACTCCTTCGTCCGTGCCTATATCACGACAGGGAGGTCAGACTTCGCAGGGCACTGGAAGACAGCTGTGAAGGTGGCGTGATTACACGGGGACCCCCATTCTCCGTCATCCGACGTAACTCGGAGTGACTACGAAAGGGAACGTCTCGGTTACGGATGTTACCCTCGTTCCCTGAGTAGGGAACGGAGACGTTACGTCTCCCTGCCACTTCCGCTGTACCGCTGGGTAGACGCCTGAGTTCAGTCTCGGCTCCTCAGCGAAGACATGATCTGCTGTTGCAGGTGTCTCTCCTTAAATACCCACGCGGTGGGGCGGAGATAAAAAAGCCACAACCGCGCCAGTGCACTCACACACACCAGCTATAGGTGGGGAGAGGAGAGAGAGTGATAGAGCCAATTCAGTGGATGGGGATTATTAGGAGGCCATGATTGGAAAGGGCCAATGGGTGGAATGTGGCCAGGACACCGGGGTTACACCCCTACTCTTTACGAGAAGTGCCATGGGATTTTTAATGACCACAGAGAGTCAGGACCTCGGTTTAACGTCTCATCCGAAGGACGGTGCTCTTTGGCAGTATAGTGTCCCCATCACTATACTGGGGCGTTAGGAGGACCCACACAGACCACAGGGTGAGCGCCCCCTACTGGCCTCACTAACACCTCTTCCAGCAGCAACCTGGTTTTCTCAGGAGGTCTCCCATCCAGGTACTAACCAGCTCAGCCCTGCTTAGCTTCAGTGGGCAACCAGTCTTGGGCTACATGGTGATATGGCTGCTGACGTAATAAATGATCTGGGGGGTGTTTTGAGCTGAAATTTCACAGACACATTCTGGGGACACCATAGATTTATATTACATCATGTGGAAAGGACATAATATTTCACTTTTAAACCTTAGACCAAGATGAACCACACATTTTGCTCTCCTTCACATTCAGTGCTGGTTTTCTGTTGGCAGGCATCTGAAAGTTGCTTAATGTTATTATTGGATGGAAGAGACAAAAGGTTAAGTCAACAAACTCATGGAGCAGAGGGGAAAGGAAACCATGGGATGTTGCAACATACAGGATTTTGATTGTGTATATGGGTGAACGGGCTCATCCTTCGCATTAACCAGTGCAGGTTAGTGTAAGGACACAACTGTTAATGTGTAATGATCACATTCCCTTTGTAGCGCTGGGCATTGAGACACATTTCTTGATTTGATTCACAAGCTTGCGATTTGATTCAGTTATGATCTCGATTCAGTGTTGATTCATTTGGATATATCGGGTTCAGTACATATCAACTTTTCTCAATGAAAAAAATCTCTCACAAATAATGCTGGAACCTCAAGGGCATGCCTGAATCTGTGTACTTGCAGCTTGCTGACGAAGCCCTTTCTCACAAACTCCTTATACATTTGACAACTTGATTGTTCATGGAAACATATCTGTTCGAAAACAGCCAAAAAATATTTAGAAAAAGGTTGACTATGCTTCATTTAATGTGACATTTAAAAAAATGCTGGTAACTTTTCAATTGCAAATTCCCTTTTTATTCTAATCAACAATTTTTTTCATGGCAAATTTTTGTCTTTGTAGTAGTTTTTTATAAAGTCCCCCAGTAGTCAATAATTTAACCCTTAAAACTCACCTTTGATTACCAAAATTACATATTTAAATTTGTTTCCTTAAAATTCTTCATGCCTTAAAAGAGCTTGAATATAACTCGACACCCTTGCCTCATTTAGTGTAAGTGGTTCTATGAATATGCAAATGAGCCCCGCCTCCACTCACTCAGCTCAGAGATCCTCTGGTTGACGATCACTCGTTGATCTGATTGGTTACAAGGTCGTTTGTGACGTCAGAAACACCAGCGATTTCAAACCGTGTTTTTGAGACTGTCTTTGGTTCACTGCAGTTTTAAGGAGAAAATACTCAGCAATGCTGTCGACTTATGAATTTACACATGGTGTGTCTTAAAGCATATTAAAACACCACATAGACATATAAACAACATTAAAAGCTTAAATATTAATAACATTTATTTGTTGTATAAGTAAATATTTTTTTATTTATTTCAACAGCAAGCCTATGTGTCCTCCAGCCACCAGATGGCACTGTCCAGCCCCAACAGTAGCAGCGCAAGTAGTTTGGGAGGCGGTGAACAGCTGAGCAAAACAAACCTTTACATCCGTGGACTCCATCCTGGGACTACAGACCAAGACCTGGTCAAGCTCTGCCAACCGTAAGTCTCGCTGGTCTGTGTAGGCTATTTAAGTCTAGCTAGCTTTGTTGTGCTCGTAATTTGTCAGGAATCATGTTACTTTAATCAGAATACATCTGAAAAGTAGTGATGGAAAAACAAGAGTGTTTCAAAACCAAACGAAAAACCAATTGCTTCAATTGATTAACCCTTATTGACCAACAGTTGGCGGTCAAAACTGTGTAAATGCAACGAATACTCAGTCCAAACATGCATACAAGCACCTTTTACAAACCAGTCTACAAATAATGACAAACCATTACAACGAAATGTGTGTATAATATGTTATTTATTAATTTGTAGGGCTTATTTTGCGTTTAATGGAGGATGTGGCTATTCAGGTTAACAAGAGACTATTTACTACAAGTCTTACTTTTTTATTATACAAATGAACCATTAAAAATGTCTACATTATGACTGAGTGTTACATCCACCAGTGGGAGTGCCCTTGACCTCCACTAGAGACCTTCCAACTCCCTTGCTTTTCCATTTTGGACTACATTTCCCATAACCCATTGCCCGGACTCATTATGCTTCATTATTTCAGCTGTGTCTCATTACCTTGTTTACTCTGCCTATTTAAGCCCTGTTTATTCACTCATTCTTTGCGAAGTCTTGTTAGTGTCACACTGCTTTTCTGAGCGCTCTCTCGTTTCCCTTGTTATGGTTTTGGTCTTCTCCCAGTTTCCCTGGATATCCCTGTTTGCCTTGCTTTTGACCAGTGTGCGAAATACCCGTCAATGTTCGGGTATATTAATATAAATATTAATATAAATATATCAATATTCAATATAAACCTCTGTACTTCAGTTGTTGGTTGTCAATCAGTGCATTTGCGAATGAGAGCCTGCAGTAGGCCTTTGTCTGATCTTAGTGTGACAATATCAGCCTGCATTTTGTTCGCAGATTTAGTCGCACAAACAGCGCAAGTGGCTCATGACAGAACACAGACCGACTGAATGACACTTTAGTAGAAAATCTCAAATGAAGATGGCAGAACTCCAGCTGACTTGTCTGTGTTTTCAGATCATCCGCGCTTCTTCAGCACAATGTAGAAAGCGTGCGCGCATGGTTGCCAGATACTATTGAAAAGACCGGGTAGAAAACATGCTCTTTTAACAGAAAAGCTCTGACTGGGGTTTAAATTATTGAAATCTGGCAACCGTAAGCATGAACGATTGTAAAAACAGTCTGTAATGTGTTGTCTCCTCCTTTATTCGACAAAAATAAGTGGTTTTGGTCAAGTTTTTATTTTTTTAAACACATTTCAGTCTTTTTTTGTCAACGATTCTGCATGTGTTGATATAGTCACAGTTATCGTTTAATGACGTGGGTGTCCTCTTTCATCGTCTAAAGGGAAAAAAGTTCGTCAACGTAATTTTTTGTTTTCGTTCCCTTCAAATTTAGCTTTTGAGGCTTTCAGGGGTTCTCATGGGTTAATCGGGGGTGTGATGTTAAGTTATATGAAAACTTAAAATTTATATACACTCACCGGCCACTTTATTAGGTACACCTGTCCAACTGCTCGTTAACACTTAATTTCTAAGCAGCCAATCACATGGCGGCAACTCAGTGCATTTAGGCATGTAGACATGGTCAAGACAATCTCCTGCAGTTCAAACCGAGCATCAGTATGGGGAAGAAAGTTGATTTGAGTGACTTTGAACGTGGCATGATTGTTGGTGCCAGAAGGGCTGGTCTGAGTATTTCAGAAACTGCTAATCTACTGGGATTTTCACGCACAACCATCTCTAGGGTTTACAGAGAATGGTCCGAAAAAGAAAAAACATCCAGTGAGCGGCAGTTCTGTGGGCGGAAATGCCTTGTTGATGCCAGAGGTCAGAGGAGAATGGCCAGACTGGTTCGAGCTGATAGAAGGGCAACAGTGACTGAAATAACCACTCGTTACAACCGAGGTATGCAGCAAAGCATTTGTGAAGCCACAACACGCACAACCTTGAGGCGGATGGGCTACAACAGCAGAAGACTCCACCGGGTACCACTCATCTCCACTACAAATAGGAAAAAAGAGGCTACAATTTGCAAGAGCTCACCAAAATTGAACAGTTGAAGACTGGAAAAATGTTGCCTGGTCTGATGAGTCTCGATTTCTGTTGAGACATTCAGATGTTAGAGTCAGAATTTGGCGTAAACAGAATGAGAACATGGAACCATCATGCCTTGTTACCACTGTGCAGGCTGGTGGTGGTGGTGTAATGGTGTGGGGGATGTTTTCCTGGCACACTTTAGGCCCCTTAGTGCCAATTGGGCATCGTTTAAATGCCACGGCCTACCTGAGCATTGTTTCTGACCATGTCCATCCCTTTATGGCCACCATGTACCCATCCTCTGATGGCTACTTCCACCATGTCACAAAGCTCTAATCATTTCAAATTGGTTTCTTGAACATGACAATGAGTTCACTGTACTAAAATGGCCTCCACAGTCACCAGATCTCAACCCAATAGAGCATCTTTGGGATGTGGTGGAACGGGAGATTCGCATCATGGATGTGCAGCCGACAAATCTGCGGCAACTGTGTGATGCCATCATGTCAATATGGACCAAACTCCCTGAGGAATGCTTCCAGCACCTTGTTGAATCTATGCCACGAAGAATTGAGGCAGTTCTGAAGGCAAAAGGGGGTCCAACCCGTTACTAGCATGGGGTACCTAATAAAGTGGCCGGTGAGTGTATATATATATATACTAAGAATGAATGTCCACCCCTAAACCTAACCCTCAGTGGATCTAGATTGTGTGTATACATAAATACATAAACCTGATAAATTGTATTGCAGACATAATTGTTTTTGAACTTGTTGATAGTGTAACATGTTCCATATGTCATCTTAACAAGGACACTGTAAACAAAAGGGAAATAGAGCATGAATTTACATTAGAAACAAATATCCAGTGGGGACTTTTGTCTTCTCACTTCAGAAGAGGTTCACACACCACTGCTTTGAGGCTCCTTTAAGCACTCTTTTCTCTTTTAGGACAACTTATATTGTGATACACATGTATGTGATATCTTTTTGTTTAATCTTGATGAGAACCCTTTAAGTTGGACGTTTCATCTGTAAACTTCTGCTTGTTAATGTGTTTACAGTCTAGAGATCTCAAAATCACATGTAATGTTGAGTATGTTTTGTTGAGCAAACTACAGTAGGCTTTCAGGTTTGGACTCGAGCCATTTGTGGTTCAAAAGAGGAAACATGAGGGTAAATTCAGGAGTGGCAGAAAGGAAATGCTTTGTTTTCTTGAGATGAAGCCAAGAGCTTTATTATAAAATGTTACGCCATAGAACTTTACAAAGACTTGCAGCTAATTCCAGTGTGTGTATATATACCAGTTTGGTTCTTGAATCTGATTGGCTCAGAGCCTTTTTCTAGCCATGCAATATTCTACTAATATAACATAGAAACCGTTTCACAATGTGTATCACGCCGCTTGTTTCTGCCGGATCTATACTGGCAGCATTTCTCACAGCAATGGCGGAGGAGCAAATCCACTATTCTTGTACAAATACTAGGGCTGCACGATTTGGGCCAAAATGATAATCACGATTATTTTGATCAATATTGAGATCACGATTAATTATCACGATTATTTGTTGATTTTAACCAAAACAAATGTTATTGTCACATAGGCTAATTATAACTGCTTTCACATTATGCTACATTCCTGCTAATGTACAACTATGTGCATCAAAATAAAACAGGTCCTCTTATTCACCAAAATTCAGTGCATCTCTTTAAAGAATAAATAAAAACAAATAAAACAATAAAGAAAATGTAGCAAAACTTCAACAGGGCACTATTTTAGATTGTGTAAATATAAAATAAAAATATAAACTTGCATTGTACCTGCATAATGGATGTGAATAAAACGCACAAAATATACAATCAATAAAAAAAACAAATATTCCATAACAGAATGTAACCAAATGAGAACATTTCAAGGCAGAACTAAGCACTATGGAAGTTCGATTAATGGATGAAATTCAGAGTCATTGTTATTTGACGCTTAAGAAATGTAAAATGTTGTGGTACAGTGTCAGTGATTAGTCTTACTGCATAAATTGAATCTTATTTAATCCTCCAAAGTGTATGTGCTTGAATTATTTCTACTTATTAAACAATAGTTCAAAACAAGAGTTTGTAGTACTGATTATTGGAGTCCATTAATCGAACTTTCATGCCTCTTATATAGTAATTATATATTAATATGTAGTATGTATGTACCAATTTACTAATGCTCACACTCGGTCTCTCACGCGCACCGTCACTCGGTCTCTCTCGCCCGCTGTCGCTCGTACGCAGACACACTCGGTATCTCTCGCGCACTTTCGAGCGCGCTCTTGGACACTCGGTCTCTCGTGCACTGTCGCTCGCGCGCAGACGGTCTCTCTCGCGCACTCGGGCTCATGGAGGCACGTGAACAGACAGTGGTTTACGGAGCGCTAGATTGGCTTTAAAAAAAAAAAAAAAAACCTTTGATACGGAGTGTTCTGTGAATGTAATGACGCATTTTAAATATCGCTCGGTCACGCGAATTTGATCGTGGGAAGCCAAAATCGCGATCGTGATTAAAATTCGATTAATCGTGCAGCCCTAACAAATACTACTGTTATTTTGTCACAAAATGCAGTTTTAAGAGAATGTCGTTGTTAAGACCTTAAATGTGCTATTTATGTAAGCATATAGCACCCATTTGAAAATTAGTTTGACGTTTTCGGAGATGTTAGCTTCAGGCCGTCAGCCGTTCAGCGCTCATGTACCCGCCGAGAACGGCTTATCTCAGTCAGTCTTATTCTTGTTCATTTAAATATTATTACATAAATATTATTTTATATTAATAATATGCTGTATTTGGTACTGAGAAAGGGCCCGTTAATGATTGTGATTTCGACTTCAGTGAAAGTTATATTACTACGCCATTATATGGCAGGAAAGACTGTCTTTATGTGTGAGTCGGTAC